ATATTTTCCAATCAAATAGACATGACTAGAACAATAAAAGTAACAAATACCAATCTAATCAACATTATTATCGTTTTGGAGTTTACATTAAGTTAGTTATAAAATTATATATATTTGATTTGGTCTAGAATTCATTATAAATATGCTACTCTGACTCCTTCCACACCAATCTGCTGTTGTAAAATTACATTATGCAAACAAATGCTATGGACTCAATCAATAAAAATAATAATATCCTGGCTATGATAACATGCCTATTGAGACATCCATAACTACCACAACAACTACTATAACAACTGCAGCAACTACACCAACAACAGCAACAACTACACCAACAACAACAACAACAACAACAACAACAACAACAACAACAACAGCAGCAGCAGCAGCAGCAGCAGCAACTACTCCTCCTACGCCCACCTATTACCCGCCAACTCTGACTAGTGCAACATCAGCAGCATCATCAGCAGATAGTTACTGCGAGGAAGACGAGGAAGAATTTTTTTATAAATTGTTTGATGGATCTGGATTTAATTAATAATAATCCAGAGACGTTTGACTCTGTACTTTTGACAACGTACCAGGAGGAACACTCTCATCCCCCTTTGGACACACAGAATAAAAAGGTATGAATCTAGACAATGTTATAAATGAAGCATTTGGATGTAGAATATAATGTACATAATGTCTGAAGATATTTAAACAAGGAGACTTGGGAAGGAGGCTGACGCATATAGTAATAGATAGCTATTAACAGAATTGTGGTAGAAGTACTGTGTGAATGAATTGAAAGCTGAAAATTTCTTTCTATTAATAGAAACAATGGGAAAGAATGGATTCTGTTTGTTGCCATTACACTAAATATATTGTTACAATTTGGAAACTTTCCAAGCAAAGCTGCAATAATTGGATTCAGTTGCTAGGATGCTTTAAACCCAAGATTTGAGTCATTTGAATCAATTGTAAGTAATTGATTCAAGAAAATTTTCCTGAGACTTCAACAGCTCTAATAGTAATGTTGTGTCTGAATTCAGGACCTGTCTCAGTTCAGAACCCAGTCACTCAGTCCAGAACTCAGTTGTCTCAGTCCAGAACCCAGACACTCAGTCCAGAACTGAAACAGGTTCCCAACTGAGGTACAACATAGTTTAAGTTATATGGACGCTTGCAAAGTAATTGCCTTTAAATGTCATTAAGACTAAGACTGAAAGAGGTTTCAGAAAGCATTGATATTAATATCAATTCCGTTACTTTTGATAATGCCATGTAAGACTTTTAATTAGTGTGGCAATTAATAAGAATTTTTTATTTCTCAACCAATTTGTATTCAATTTACATAAAATTTTTCTGCACATAGGTAATAATAATAATGTAGATTTACTAAAAAATAAAAATTTAGTGGTCAAATGTTAAATTTTATATTAATACTAATATTGGAAATAGATGGTATTGAAAATAGAGAGTGACACTTCATATTGGAAATAGAGTGCTACTTCATATCAGAAATAGAGAGTGACACTCCACATTGGAAATAGAGAGTGACACTTCACATTGGAAATAGAGAGTGACACTCCACATTGGAAATAGAGAGTGACACTCCATATTGGAATAGAGAGTGCCACTTCATATCAGAAATAGAGAGTGACACTCCATATTGGAAATAGAGAGTGCCACTTCATATAGGAAACAGAGAGTCCTTGTATATTTCGAAGCCAAATGAGCATCAGTTATTGCCACTTCATATCAGAAATAGAGAGTGACACTCCATATTGGAAATGGAGAGTGCCACTTCATGTTGGTATGTTTGGAGGCTTCTATTTTTCGGATGGTTATCCTCTCCTCCTGACTAATTTTCTTTTTCATTTGGAAACAAGAATGTCCTAAGTATTGGTTTCATAATTGAATCCAATAAATTGTTTCCATAGTATAAATAAAATTTTACAATGCCCCAATTTTCATGTTCATTACATCAACACATGCTAGACAGAATTCACTATCATCTTTATTGTAATGAGGTAATGTAAAATGCAGGATGTCAGATATCTTGATGGACGCGCAAATGACTTGGATATGCCATGAATATGGGTGGAAGGAAGATTGGAAATTTGGGTAAGAGGAAAGATAAAAATTATTATAAGATTTGAAAAGATCACAAAATGATATGCACATCAAAGCAGCTGAATAACACCCACCTTCACCATATTGGATATGTCAAAGCACTGACAGTCTCATCTTCAGGATGTAAAACTCTATTCTCAGCAAATGTCCAAATCGTTTGACAAAGCTCTACATGCATGGCAGACACAAAGGTGAGGAAAGGATATAAGAAAAAGGTCATTGGGGTAAAACGAAAAACAATATGTAATGACAATGGTCAAAAAAGCATAGATCCTTCAGGGGTTGTAACAAACCTGCAATGATGCTCCTTCGGTACTCGACAATATATTTACTTTCTGGAATAAATCCAGGCCTGCAGCAGAGTACTCAAAGTCGTCTGAGGCTTTGTTGGGGATCCCAGCCTGAAGTACCCTCAAATAAGGACGATGAATTCCCAACGTTGCCACTCTGAGGATTCGTTGACCGTGCATTCTTGGTAGTCAGGAGATTACTGAGACTCATGGACGATGGATGAAGCT